GTCTCTAAGTTCTGGGGTGGCTTTTTATATAGCCATAGACAACAAAAATGTGTTACTGTTATCCAGGAAAGTGAAGACATGTATATCCCATGACTCTGAAATTCCACTCATAGAACAGAGTGTAACCAACCCTGGGGAAATGCACAAATATGCTGATTGCATCAACCTGTGTGATGGGAAACAAACAAAAACCCTAAACCCTAAATGATCATCTAAAGGAGAATGGAGAAATGAATTATGGTACAGTCAAATAATGGAATATTATGCACTGGTAAAAATGAATGAGCTAGGCCGGGTGCAGTGGCCTATAATCACGCCTATAATCCCAGCACTTTGGGAGGCTGAGGTGAGAGGATTGCCTGAGTCCACAGGTACAAGGCCAACCTGGGCAACTTGGTGGCCCTCATCTCTACAATAAATAAAAAAAAAATTAGCTGGGCATGGTGGTGCATGCCTGTAGTTCCATCTACTTGGAAGGCTGAGGCAGAAGGATAGCCTGAGCCCAGCAGGTTGAGGCTGTGGTGACTGTGAGCGTGCTACTGCACTCCAACCTGGGCAACAGAGTGAGACTCTATTCAAAAAAAAAAGAAAAGAAAAGAAAAGAAAATGAATAAGCTATAGCTACATGTATGAATGCAGAGAAATTTTCCATACATAATGTTGGATGGAAAAAAGCAGCTTGCATACTAAAAGATCCACCATATGTCAAGTTTTAAAACGTGCTTAAGATACTCTACATCAAAGGTTAGCAAACAACATCTCATAGGTGAAAAGTGATCTGCTTCCTGTTTTTGTAAATAAAGTTTTATTGAAACACCTATGTGCCCACTCCTTCATGTCTTGTCTATGACTGCTTTCATGCTACAGTGGCAGCGTTGAGGGACTGCAGTAGAAACTGTGTGGTCTGCAGATAAAAACCTTTACTGTCAGGGTTTTACAGAAAAGGTTTGTTGACCCCTATTTTATCATCAAAAACAGTAAGCAACAAATTGAGGGGTACAGGAATCTCTGAGAAGAAAGGAAAGCCACCTCCTTCAATTTTTTTAGGTTGGATGGCCAGTTCTTGCTATCTAAAGTATTACTCTTTATGCCTTTACATATGTCTTTAATATTGCATAATAGATAGAGAAAAAAGGTACTCAATACTCCTGATGCCCTTTTCTCCAGGTTGCTCAATTGTATTATTTTTCTGCAGCTATTTAAACAAAGTAAACAGTGCTATTTGCCAAGGAGCCATGAAAAAAGCTTCCTGACAAGATTCAACAAAGTTTGTCCAGACGATGAGCAAACACTACTTGCTCGGGCACAGGCAGACATGGAGGGAAATGACTTTTCATCCACTTATTATCCTGTGACATGGACATTCTGGGTGTGTGTGCGTGGCAGCCTGGCTTCCACTGATCCAGCTGGCATTTAGCGAGCACTTCCCTTGGGCTGGGCTCTGTGAGGAAGTCCTTTATCTAGATCAGAGCCTAGGGTCAAACCTGGCCCACTGCCTGTGTCTGTAAATAAAGTTTTATTGTAACAGACACAATAAACATGGGTGTAACAGTTATACCCATGAGTTTACCTGTTGTCTGGCGGCTTTCAGGCTACGGTGGTAAAGCTGAGTAGTTGTGATCAAGACCATATGGCCCACAAAGCAGAAAATATTTACTATCTTTACTGCAAACGTTAGCCAATCCCTGATGTAGATTATCTCACTTCATCTTCACAGCAACCAGGGCAGACTTAGTCTTACTTCCACTGTCTGAATGAGGAAATTGAGGCTCACGGTGGTGAGGCCGCTGTTATCACCTACACTGTCTCACTGGGCAGCAGACTCTGAAAGCAAGTAAGACAGTAAAATAACTTTGAGCCAAGTTCATTTCCATTGCTGCCATGTTTTGTCTGGGAACAAGGGCTAGTTTTCTCTTTTATGTGAAAAATAATATGGCTTCAGTTTTTTTGGCTGTCAGCCAAGCGGGGTAACTTATGTATGACTGTGTTATAAGCCTTCCAGCCCGGGAGGGAAAGAAAGTTAGAAAAGATGCCCACACCTGTTGGCCAAGGTCTGTCATAGGTAATCCCCTGGGATTTATGGAATGCACGCCCAGGCGGCAGGGCTCAGCGGGCGAGGGCGAGGGCGCCTGAGCCAGGCAGCCTCGGCTTAATTCCACCTCGGTCACCGACCAGCTGGGTGACCTTGGGTGAGTTATTTATCCTCCCTGAGCCTCTGTTTTTTTATCTCTCCAGGGAGGATAATGATGTGACCTCTGTTTAGGGTTGAGGCGAGGATTAAAGGAATTAGTGGACATAAGCCAATGTGAGTGATGGGAAGTCAATGATGGTGACTATTGCTAATGCCTGACCTGACGCCCTGACAGGACCTGTCAATCCCCAGTCTGCAGTCGCTCCTGATTCTGTCTACATCAATCCACTCCCAGCCACGGCCTTGCCCCAGGCCTCTCCCCAGGTTTGCAACATTTCCTGCTCCAGGCTTCCTTAGTCTTCCAATGGGCCTTCCTCCTTCTCTTGATTCTACCAGATCCAGCCTCCCCACAGTAGCCAAAGCAATCTTTAAAAAGGCTAACGGAAGGCCCGGGTGGGAGGATCGCTTGAGACCGGGAGTTTGAGACCAGCCTAGGCAACACAATGAGACCCCACCTTTGTGAAAAATTTTTAAAATATAGCCGGGCACGGTGGTGTATTCATTCCTGTGGTCTCAGCTACTCGGAAGGCTGAGGTAGGAGGATCACTTGAGCTCAGGAGTTTCTGGCAGCAGTGAATTATGATCGTACCACTGCACTTCAGCCTGGGCGACAGAGTGAGACGCTGCCTCCAAATAAATAAACAAATAAATAAAGATTCTAAATTGTATCGTATCACTCATGGCTCCTCCAGTGGCTTCCTATCTCACATGGAACGGAACCCCAAATCTTTTCTGGGCCTCGGAGGCCTCACTCACCTGGCTCACCTCCTCCTTCATCTTGGGCTTCTTGAATTGACCAAATTCCTTCCATTCCCATGGGCCACCCTCTGCCTGGACACTCTCCTGTCTGTGCTGAAACATGGCCATCTCTCAGTCCTCAGTTGAATCAGCCCCTGTTGAAGAGGCTTCTCCCGGCCCGATCCTAACATGGACCTTCCTTGTTTTCTCTCTTGAAACATTCTTCTCTTCCTTTGTACCAGGCATCACAAGTTGAGATAATACACTCAACTTAAAAAATCCGTGTAATTCTTTTCTTCCCATAGGCCAGGGTTTACAAGCTCAAATGTTTTCCTGGGACAGGCAGATAATTTGAGGGAGTAACAAGGGCTGGATGGGGACCATGGTAAACGGAAGCTACAAGAACATTCTGTGGAGTTCCTGTCTACCCAGAACCACCTATTCCTGACACCAAAGAAGTGAGTTCAGTGGTTCCTGGCCATTGGTTTTATACTGTAAGCTCCACGAACACAGGGCCTGCTCTGCTTTGTTGACTGCTGCACGCCTGCCACATGACTCAATGTTTAATGAATGAATGAATGAATGAATGAATGAACATGGCAGAGGTAGGGAGGAAGAGCGGAGGGAGGAAAGAGAAACAAGATTCAGACTGTGCACTCAAACAACTCAAGCGACATCCTCTAGCTGGGAGGATGAGGTGAGTATGCTAGTTTTACAGTTGATGAAACTGAGGCCTGGGGAAGGAGAGGGCAGCCGCATCTGGAAGGTGAGTCTCCTGTCCACCAACTCCGGACACCCGGGTGTGGGTGGCTCTAAAGTGATCTGATGTGTGCTTCTGCCCACCCTACCTCCTCACTCTCAATCAACTGTTTTGGGTGAGACTGACCTGACCCCATGGGCGGGCACATGGCCAAAGTGGGGGGGGGGCAAAAACATCCATCTTCAGTGGGATGGTAGTCCAGGTAGACAAATTCCTGGAGCAGTATGGGAAGTCCCAGACAGGAGGGGATCTCTTTTTGGGAGGCACTGCCGCCTGAGCTGCTAGAGCTGCCTTTGCTACCACAGTGGGAGAGCCCGCCCCACACTGAAGTCCACACAGAGTGGGCAGAGGCTGGCTTCTGAACGTGTCACTTGAGCGCCTGGAGCCAACCCTGCCTGAAGCCAGTGCTCTGAGGTTTTCCAGCTATGTTGGCAGTAGATTCTCTGTTTCCTCAAACTGATCACCTAGGGTTTCTGTTACTTGCTACCAAAGAGGGCTGGTTGTGACCTCAGTTAACAGGGGAGGGAACAGTGTATTGAGGGCCAGAGGCAGGGCCTGGGGATAGTGAGTCACCGAATCTATGATTCTCAGCAGCAAGGCATGGTCAAGGTTGGGAGGTCTCTGGTGTTTTTGTTCCCTCCCTCTCCTGCCCCCTACACTCATTTCTCCTTCTTCTGATACCACCACTCTGTTTTCTTTTGAGAAAATTATCCCCCCTCACATACAATCTATGGCTCCCTTTCCCTTATCCTGCTTACCACCACTGCCTTGCTTTAAGTACAGTCACATGATCCAGCTTGGGCCAATAAAGGCCAACAGGGATCCTGTTGCAACTACCAGGAAAGATGAGTTCTTCCTCCACTAGGAGTGCAGAGCCAAAAGGCTGCAGACCCAGAGTGGACAGGTGCCATCTTTGTTGCCACACGGGGAGAACTGGTAGGGGAGTAAAGCCAATTAGAGGGAAGCATCTGAAGGTGCAGAGAGACATATTCCTCGTGATTCATTTGAGCACCTGGATCCAGCAGTATCCGATGTCTGTCGTATTCCCAGATCTCTCAGTATGTGAATCATTCAATGCCCATTTTCCCTAAACCAGCTTGGGTTAAGTCTTATTCTCGCAATTGAAAGAGCTCTTGAGATAGTCCATATAATTTGAACCATGTTTAAAGTATCTCTCCTTTTCCTCTGTCTCCAATCCCAAATTAGGTTGGCTACATTGCTCATTCCACATTTCACGGAGGCAATCAGGTGGCATAAAGCCCATGGTGCTGGGGATCCCAGGAGGAAAGCGAGGGTTCGTCTGGTACTCACTATAAGAAGGGATTCCGTAGGTCTGTGCTGGGGGCGGGTATGCTGTGTAGGGGGCAGCCTGCTGGATTCCCGCACTGTACTGCGCCTGGCCGTAGGCTGCCATGGCTGTGGAAGGCTGGCTGGGCAGGACGCCCACGCAAGGTCTGTGAGGGAGAGAAGAGTGAATCTCCATGCCCAGCCAAGCACCCCAGCCCCTTTATCTTGGTCAACACCACCATCTTTCTCTGGGGATTTACTCTTTCCAGGGCAGAAATGACTTACCTGGTCACCAAATCCCACTCCATTGTCCTCTTCCTGGGAAGTAGGACATTCACAGTTGCTGTCTCCCTTGCAGTTGGATCGGGGCATGTGGCAGGGTTTAGCCCAGTAGAATGTGGGCAGACATGTTGTTAAGCCACCCCCAGGGCTGGCCATTAAACTCATCCCCTGCCACCCACTCCCCTGTCTCTTCTTCTGGCAGCAGCTATGGAAGCACATGTAGAGATGGCAGAGCTGCACTATGTACTATGGAAGCATCCTAGATCCCTGAGTCAGCTTGTGGAGGAGAGCTGCCCTGGAGAGTTTCACCCTGTGCACATTGGATTTTATGTGCATAAGAAACAAATCTCTGTTGGGTGAAGCCACTGAGGTTTCAGGGTTTATTGATGACACTGCATAGTCTATCCCACCTTGATCGCCTGTCCTAATTTAGACACCTTCTCAGTTGACTGCTGCCTTAACAGAGCTATCAGTCAAGATGCCTTGCCCTTAGCCAAGGGATGGGCACATGAGGCAAGATCATCCAGTTGGACTCTGTCCTGGGATTTTAGCTCTTGGGCTGAATGATCAATTCCATCAGTCACACCCTGAAGAGACTGCTTTTGATTTGTCTGTATTGCTTGGACCCCATAGTCTGTCCTATTCTTAATCTTTCTCAAGGCTTGATTAGTTTATTTTTATTGATGTGAGGAGCTACCCCAGATATCCCACAAAAAGTCCCTTTAGACTTACATCTGCTGGAGTTGAATTCTGTTGCTCGCAACCAAAGACCACAGGTGGAGTCTCTACTCTGTGGCGAGCAACAGGTTCTATAAAGGGCTGGGATTTCAAGGGCCACTTCCTTAGGTTATGTGTAATCTCACTTCTGCCAATCACTGTGTTCTTACTACGGGCCAGAATTGTGTCACGCAGGCCTGGCGTGTCCCTTACGTCTCACTGGTACTCTTATTAACTCTCTGGGATCCCATTTTAGAGACGAGGACACCAAAACTCGGAGAGCTGAAATCACAGCTGGAAAGTGGCCAACGTAGACCTTAGATGTAAGAGTCTGACTCCAGAGTCCATGCTTGCCACCATGAGACTTTGCCACTTCTCACTTATAGGACTGGGATCCACCCAGCCCTACAGAAAACAATAAATAAAGTCGAGGTGAGTTGTGCTACCACAGAGGGAGCAAAACGATGGCCCAGGGGCCATGTCCGGTCCAAGGATCTGTGGATATAGTGTCTTTGGCCAGTACGTTATTTTTCTTCCCCTAACTTGAATTTGGTGGCCAACATTTTAAAATCAGGAATCCTCTCTCTCTCTCTCTTTCTCCCCTCCCCCTTCTTCCCTTACCCCCTTCTCTTCTTCCTTCTCTCTCCTCTTGTTTCTTTCTCTCTCCTCTTC